TTAGCATTAGATTTTGTTTTTCTTGAAAAAACTCGAAAATTTACTCGTGGGTCTTAGAAATGGGATTAACAAGCCAATGTAATAAAAAAGATATGAAATTCCAATTAACGTCATTGATGATGATGATATCTGAAATAAATAAATATAAAACATTTTTTGCCTGATTTGTTCACAGAATGTGCAAATTATTATGGAAAAAAAATAAAAAATCTTTATCCTTGTTCGGTGTGTCTCATTATCATCGGGGTAGACATTTAATAAAATATTTGATTTGAATTTCACATATGTAAATTTGAATTTCACACATGTGAATTGTGAATTCACATAATTTCATTTTCATATACAACAGTTCCAAATAGTGCATAGTGAAGATATATGAGGTGTTTTTCATGTGAACTTGAGATTTTATATGTATCAAAATTTATGGTTTTGCAAGCATTGCAAAATCAAATTTGAAATTGATAACATGTCATTAAAAGTTCATGATATGATTGATTATTAAAGTTGAAAATAAACAGATTTATTCATAAAAAATAGCAGAAAAAAGGTGATAATACATTATGACTTATAAATTCTACATCACATATCTATATTAGATTTATATAATAGATTATATCCACAAGAACAATTAACAAGAATTTAATTGCCATACATTAATCTTCCTCTGGAAATTTTAATCTTTTCAATGCCTTTTCTGGTATACCTGTTTCCCTTTTTGCATCTTCAAGGGTTTTAAATGGTCGCTTTTTGAGAATTGTGCCCACTTGACTTACACCAATGCCATCAATTGTCATGAGCTCTGTATAAGTTGCAGTATTTATATTCAATGGACCTACAATAGCATAAACATGTGCTCTACCAGCAAATGGCCCAAAGTATTCTTTCCATTTGAGGCCATCCACAATCCCAGAGTTCATTGGAAGTTCAAAATTGCAGTTTTGGGCAATTGTAAAAAGAATAAAAAAATCTTTATCACATGCAGATTTGTTTCGTTCATTTTGATAATCATTCAAAGAAAGTGATTTTTTTTTCCACCTTTTAGCTTGATGAACTTCATTTGGATTATTATCTTTTGATTGGTCTAATGCAAAAAAAGAATCACCATATGGGGCAGATTGTGCATTTATTATACAGTGTTTACCTTCCCAAACATTGACACATGTACCTTCACATTCAATATCCATTCTTTTATCATAAGTAGCAGAATTTGTATTCACATGATGAATAGCACATTCCAATTTTAGATGATGGTTCTTGAATTTGAAATCATCATTCAAATGTAGACATGCTCCAGCATGAATTTCTGAAACTGTTGTTAACTCATTTTCACATAGTACCTTAGATTTTAATGAACGAAAAGTTGCAATGAAATGTTCAAAATGATTCCAAAACTGAGATCCCACTGGCAACCTCCAGTTATAGGGAACAATGGAGCAAATGCAGCCAAGTTCTCTATCTGCATTTCAAAATTTCCTCTACGTATACCTAGTTGATGGCATTTCCAGAATCCAAAATAACGGTAGTATAAAAACCATATTCTTAATACATAATTATTTCCTTCAAGAATATCATCTACTGTCATATTTCTTTTTAATACATATTGATTAATAGATATTCCAACAGCTGCCCAAATTAATTCTAAAACACAAGATGTTGCTCTATAATCAACATTTTTTTCCAATGTTTCTAAAAAACGAACACCAAGTGCAGCTGCTATATTATAAATTCCATAACCACTAAATGCTGTGATTAAGGCACTACACATAGCTTTGGATGTATGCCATCCACCTAAAATAAAACGTCCAGTCATGTTATCATTATGGTATGATTTGGTTCTTCTAAAGATTGCTTCATCACAAGCCATGTCAATTATATGTTGTCCAAGATCATCAAAGTACTTATTTATTGAACTAAAGACATTTTCATTATTTTTAGGAGCAGGTCCTGCATCAAGAATGACAACATTTGGTGGTGGAACTTGACAGCCTATTTCAATTTTGGATGCAATTTTTGAATTAATATCCTGAACATCAAAACCACCTTCATAATTTTCAATAAGCTGTTGAAATATCATGTCAATATTTTTTTCCCATTTACTAATTAAAGATGATTTTCCAAATAATGCATCACTGTGAGTCTGTGGATGATTGATTTGTAAAAATGAAGCTACTGGAAATGGAAGTTGAAATTGAAAGACCATCCTGAGTGTGGCATGTGCAGAATTTCTGGTTACATCATATATGTTTCCATAATGAAAGGTTGTATCCTTAAAATCAATGTTGTCTATAACTGCAACATTCCAAGTTTCAGGGGTTCTGAGCAATTTTGATCGAGGATCTACATTTTTCATTCTTTCTTTTTGTTTTTTTACTTCATGATCCCATGAATATGAGACAACATTTACTGTGTGGAGTATTGATTGCAATATTGAAATCATTTTAGGTCTTCGACAAAGTGATGCCATGGTATGAGTTAACCATATTTTCCATGTTGGAAATGCAACTGTAAGAATCATTGAAGCAATAAAAACAGTAATTTTCTGAATTGAAGAAGGATCAAAATCTTTTGGAAAATGTCCACGACTCTTTCGTTTTCTTTCAGCAACTTGATGCTTTTTTTGTATTATAGAACCAATCATGCCATCAAAAAAATTAATCAAGGTTTTGGGGAATGAATTATAGTTCTGGTTAGATTAACTGAGCTCACATGGGTAAGTAACTCTTTCTGTTCAGGATTCCGGTGAATTGACTCAAGAAAAAATACTACTGATTGAGCATAATTGCTTTTTCCAGTTATAGGGAACAATGGAGCAAATGCAGCCAAGTTCTCTATCTGCATTTCAAAATTTCCTCTACGTATACCTAGTTGATGGCATTTCCAGAATCCAAAATAACGGTAGTATAAAAACCATATTCTTAATACATAATTATTTCCTTCAAGAATATCATCTACTGTCATATTTCTTTTTAATACATATTGATTAATAGATATTCCAACAGCTGCCCAAATTAATTCTAAAACACAAGATGTTGCTCTATAATCAACATTTTTTTCCAATGTTTCTAAAAAACGAACACCAAGTGCAGCTGCTATATTATAAATTCCATTACCACTAAATGCTGTGATTAAGGCACTACACATAGCTTTGGATGTATGCCATCCACCTAAAATAAAACATCCAGTCATGTTATCATTATGGTATGATTTGGTTCTTCTAAAGATTGCTTCATCACAAGCCATGTCAATTATATGTTGTCCAAGATCATCAAAGTACTTATTTATTGAACTAAAGACATTTTCATTATTTTTAGGAGCAGGTCCTGCATCAAGAATGACAACATTTGGTGGTGGAACTTGACAGCCTATTTCAATTTTGGATGCAATTTTTGAATTAATATCCTGAACATCAAAACCACCTTCATAATTTTCAATAAGCTGTTGAAATATCATGTCAATATTTTTTTCCCATTTACTAATTAAAGATGATTTTCCAAATAATGCATCACTGTGAGTCTGTGGATGATTGATTTGTAAAAATGAAGCTACTGGAAATGGAAGTTGAAATTGAAAGACCATCCTGAGTGTGGCATGTGCAGAATTTCTGGTTACATCATATATGTTTCCATAATGAAAGGTTGTATCCTTAAAATCAATGTTGTCTATAACTGCAACATTCCAAGTTTCAGGGGTTCTGAGCAATTTTGATCGAGGATCTACATTTTTCATTCTTTCTTTTTGTTTTTTTACTTCATGATCCCATGAATATGAGACAACATTTACTGTGTGGAGTATTGATTGCAATATTGAAATCATTTTAGGTCTTCGACAAAGTGATGCCATGGTATGAGTTAACCATATTTTCCATGTTGGAAATGCAACTGTAAGAATCATTGAAGCAATAAAAACAGTAATTTTCTGAATTGAAGAAGGATCAAAATCTTTTGGAAAATGTCCACGACTCTTTTGTTTTCTTTCAGCAACTTGATGCTTTTTTTGTATTATAGAACCAATCATGCCATCAAAAAAATTAATCAAGGTTTTGGGGAATGAATTATAGTACTGATTTAGGGAAGTTGGATTTTCTAAAATTGAAAGATTTTGTTTAAGTTCTTTGTGTGAATTCCAAATGGAATTACCCAATTGTTTTCCAAAATTTTCACAATTATTAACATTTAATTCTTCTATTGGTAGATTAATATTGGAGTCATGTAATTTCATGGCAGTGTTTACGAGGAACACACTAGGAGTTGCTGCTTTTGATAATAATTGATCGGTAGAGTTTGTTGTTTCCAATAGTGGCATTAAATGCAAAAGTACTTTTCTTTTTTTATCATCATTTTCAGATTCGGAAATTTTTGTAATCCATTGTGCAAATAATTTTAAAGAAAAGGTCACATCATTTCTATGTAAGTCATCATTAATACATGAATTTGATTTTCCTGATCCTTGACGTTTGTGTAAATGTCCACCATAAGCTTCAAAACATTCTGTACAAATGTATCGAACACGATCATTATTTAAGGCTTTAGAAGAAATATGTGGAATATCAATAAACACAGGACAGGATTTGAGGCCAAGACAAGGTACTTGAATATTTCTTCCAACAAGATTCCAAGAGTGTATTGCACAATCATCACCCCTACTGAAAAAAAATTTATATCTATCACACATAAGATATTTTTTCTTTTTTATCTTACTTTCATTAGTACTTCGTTTTTTTTTAGAATTAGGGTTATGAATCTTGCTATTATCAAAATTGAAATGACTTGTACAAACACCATATTCATATAATTTAAAATCAGAATTCTTCCCTATAGATGCATCCACCTCCCATGTTCCAAAAAGCTGTGCTATTGATACTAATTTTTCTGTTGAACAACATCGAGAAATCTCTCCTTTTGAATTATCAATAATAACACATGGTGATAATTTTATAGGTAAAGTATTTGGAATCACTAAATCTTCTTCATTATCACTATCAATTAGCATATGGGATTCGTCATCACTTTCTACATCTTCATTCTCATTTTCACTTTGAATGTATTGAAGATTCGGAGATTCAAATATAGCTTTTGCAGCCTTTGGAGCTGATTCATCTAATAAGAACATGCTATAATCATTATCCTCCTCAAATTCATTATCCTTCTCACATTCATTATCCTCCTCACATTCATTCTCCGATCCTTCTTCTTCTATTACTACATCATCATAATTTACTTCTTCCATCAATTCAATTACTTCTTCGATCAAATTTAAATTTTCTTGATCCAAATCCATTTGTTCAAGGAAAATTTCCAAATAATTCAATACCAGAACCATTACCTATGAACTCTCATCAATCGCAAAATAAAGGAATTGGAAGTACAAGAACCGATGTATTTGTTTTTGGTACAGTTTTTTTTGTTTGACTATACTACCATTATTATTATTATTATTATTATATTATTATTATTATCATTATTAACCATATATACAATACATGCGTGTGTGTATTAGGTAATCCTAGAGGTTTAAAATATCGTTCAAAATGTGAGTTCGTTCCTCACTTTTTATGGCTTTATTTTGGTAAAAAAGGTAGTTGTAAATGTCGGAAATGTGAAATAGTGTTCACTAGAAAGATAAATCCAACTTCAAATGGATCTTATCATCATCAACAGAAATCAGTCATCAATAATGTTGATCATGATATTGACAAAAAAACATTAACTAATTTTAACGGTTCTGAATATCGAAGTGGTGAACTAGTTTGGATTTCTGTTACAAGCTCAAGTATACCTATTAAATTGTTAAAAACAAATGAAAATTGCAAAAATAATGAAAACTTGAGTGAAATTTATTGGCCAGGAACAATAATTGAAGTTGTTACTACTACCGATGAGAATAAAATAAACAGCCATGTTGCTGATTCATCAAGCGTTTCAACAGATCAAGCTATTCTATATAAGATAAAACTTCTGACATTTAATGAAACTTATGAACGTCCACCATCTACTATATCGCCATGGCTTTCAAAAGATCTCGATGATTTGATCAAAGAATACTCGAATGAAATTTATTTCACTAAATTCTTGGACGCAGTAAAAATCGCAAAAAATATTCAGGGATCTTTTGTAACAGGAATAATTTATGATTACATAATTAATAGTAACAATCTTGATTTAATTAAAGATCCAATTCAAAAAAAAAGAATTGTTGACTCAAAAGGCTATCCTCACTATAGTGAAATATGGTTCGGTGCAGAACAAATCAAAGTTTATGATTTTGTGAGATTAACCTCAAATAATGAGTCAGATGAAAAAGAATATTTTAGAATAACATCAATCTACAGGTTGCCGAATAATATAGTTCAATTTGCTGGCGACTTATACGTATTAAAAAAACCAGGCGATGATAGTAATAGTAATAATGGTGAAATATTCAGAACATTGACGATTAAAGATTGTAATTACATATCAAAAAATTATATTTATGAAGAGTACACAATTGATTTAGAAGATGTTGCAGGACGGTTTTATTTAAATAGAAATTCTATCACTAAATCAATGAATGCTACACAAGAAAGGTCTTCGAGAGAAGAATTATTTAGTGAAATTGCAACGAATATTGAAGGCGAAAACACTGCCAGTCAACTATCATCATCATCAAATATCAATATACCAACTATATCATCGTCGTCATCATCATCATCACCGTCATCATCAATTAGTCAAAATCACAATAATAGAAAATTTACTGGAGGAGACGAGATTTTTGAAGATGAAGAAGAAGAAGATGATGATGAAGATAGTGACGATAATGGTGATGATGTTGATGATGTTGATGAGGAGGAAGAGGAGGAA